GAAGCAAGGGCGACTTAGGTGAAAAATAAAAATGATTAGCTGGTACATTAATGTGATTGGGAGTGTGCTAAAAAAGAAACAAGTAAAAGAGGGTTCAGGAAGAGCCACCAGGATATGGTAATGCTGCAAGAAACTAAAATTGCAAAGTTAACACCATTCTATTCTGAAGTGTGTGGGAGAGTAGATTTAAGGAATGGGCAATCCTTCCATCTAGTGGGCCAGTGGGGGGGATGCTAGTAATCTGGGACACCTGGTTTGCAAAAAAAGTGGAAATAATTGAAGAAGAATTTACCTTTGATGGTGTTATTAAATGTTAAGGGGAAAGGTAAATGTTGGCTTACAAATGTGTTGCCCCAACAAGGTACAGATTTCGATCAAATTTTTATGAAGAATTATACTCATTATCTGGTTTATGTGGTCAGTCATGGTGCATTGGAGGATATCTAAATGCTTGTAGATTCCCGTTAAGAGAAATTAGGAAGCAATAGGCTCACCACAACTATCCACAGATTCAATGAATTTATCGAGGATGTGAATTAAGAGATCTCCCTCTAGCTATTGGACAATTTACGTGTCCGTGAACCGCCAAGGTACTCTTTCTTTCCGGTTGGACTGATTTCTAATCACTACGTGCTGGGAAGATAGTTTCCCTGATCTAGTCCAGGGATTGTTCCCACATCCTGTGTCAGATCACTTTCCTATCTGACTGGAATCTCAGTGCATCCGATGGGGCCCTACCCATTTCTGCTTTGATAATATGTGGCTTCAAGATCATACCTTCAAGGATGTGGTTAGGGAACATTAGGAGAAAAAAGGGGATACAATCTAGAGATGGCCTTCCATCAACTTTTGTGTATACTAGAGCTGCTTGCTATAAAAGTATTCACTCTGCCTCACAAAACTAGGTTCTTATGGAACAAGTCATAACCATTTACCCAATACCGACAAATTTTTTATACAAGATTTCCAGTACCCAAGCAGCCAAAAGTTTGGGACGAACAGCACACTTCCTAATTACTCTATCTTTATTGCATAAAGATTAACCTGCTCTCCCCTAAGGGTTACTAGACCATTTCACTTTTCCATTCTTCTACTTTTTTTTTGAGAGGATATTTAATTCTCTGCTCCTTTTTCTTCTCTTTCTCTCTTCTTAATATAATTCTTTTTCTATCGAATGGACAAAAAAAACAAAAGAACAAGAACAGGATAACATACCTCATCCCAACCAATTCCATACGCCAAAGGATTTAACCTCATCCTGATAAAGAGATAGGTATAACCAAGCCAAGCACAAGCTTCCTTCACATTGGTCACAGTACCCAAGGCCACCTCTGCATTTAAATTATCTTTCAAGGAGCTAATGAACTGCAAACAGACAGCATTTAATGAGTGACCACAACTTTTCATCAGAAGTTTTTAAAGAGAAAAAAAAAATCAAACAATGAACATATGCACATATTTTAGTATCACATAGCAAAACTAACACAAAATTTACTTCATTTTAATCTAATCGCGAACTTCAAAAATTTCTTTTCACATTCAAAATTGCTTAGAAAATTTATCCCGATGATGCTTTCGTTTGGTCCATTAAAGCTTGAAGTTGCTCTTCTTGGCTTGATATGATAGGAAAGCAGGAGATTCTACCAGTTCTGTGTTATTCTTCTGCTATGCTTCCTTTTTGACATTTTCATTGGAATTCTATTCTTTTTTTCCTTTATTTTAACCATAAAACCTAAACAAAGCATATGAATAATTAGGATTAACAAAGAAAGTTAATAATTGGTTTACGGAAAAAGAAATTTATACTATGAATAATCCATGTAAAACAAAGTACTACATAATCCAAGAAAACTTTATATATTTGATACTTGGGTAAGATGACTACTTAACTCCTTTTTTAAATACAAAGTGTGAATTGTATTGATAAGGCACCAAGGGGGTGCCATTCATGTACCACTTTACTCTTAATATATTTAAAACATATGCGTAGGGTGTACATGATTATTTTACCCTTAATATATTTTAAAATATGTTGAAATAATAAAATTTTCAAAAAAAAAATTTAATTTTAAATAGTACAGATTTTTAGATATAATGTTATTTTCAAAAAAAGATGGGACAATAATATTTACGGCTTGGGTGTGCTGGTGTGCTGAGTTGTCTAAAAGAAAACTCCAGGAGGATGTCTTATTCTCTGATTCTGAATTTACACCATTTTTCTATTAACATTTCTTTTTCTACCTATATATATATATACATCAAACATAAAGTTTTAAGCCAGTGAAGTCTATCGAACTAGGAGTACCTGACTTTCTATGGGGAGTTGACTTGTTAGGAGTCGTAGATAATATGCCAGTTTGTCATGTGAAGTGATTATGATGCCTTCGCCACTTTTGTCAAACTGAGGTCTCCCAGCCCTTCCAAAGATCTTAAAGAGAGAAATCACACTACTTAAAATGGATTTTGGCAGTAAAAAACATGTTTTCAAAAGAAAACTCTCTTACCTGCATGACATCCAGCATGCCAAGGTCCCGCCACCCACCAGCCTTCGGATCATATAACTGGGTTCCCTGAAGGACAATTCAGAACCAAATATTGGAAAAAAGAAAAAATGAGCACAAAACCAAACCTACCAAGAAATTACTTAATGAAAGTAAAATGATTTGAGTTTTATTTAAAAAGTCCCTTGAATTCAACTTCTGGAGGGATGATTGCCTACAATTACAGCCAACACAATAAAGAAAGCTCACATGCGGCAAAGTTAAACACCAATGGATATATATGAATAATGTACCTACTATGCACAAACCCTAATCACAACACTGTGAGCAGAGAGATGATTGTGTACAATTACAGCCAACCCACCAAAGAAAGTTGAAAATGTGGCAAAGTTAAACACTAATGGATATATATATATATATGAATAATGTATCTACTATGGACAAACCTTAATCACAACAGTGTGAGCCGGCAGATTCACACCCCAAGCAAGAGTTGCTGTACAAACAAGCACCTAAAACAACAAACATAAGCTTAGAAAATGTACACACCTTTTTTCAGAGAAGGAAGAAATTATTAAGAGTGAAAGAAATATAAACAAGCGTAAATAAGATATACTCACACAAAAAGAAAGAAAATCTACCAATATTGGCCAAGAAGTGCTAAAAGCTAAGTGAAAGGTTGTACCTTCAAGAGTCCATCAGAGAAAAGTCGTTCAGTAAGCCCTCTATCGGCCCGCAACATCCCAGCATGATGAACACCAATGCCCATTTCAAACAGTTCGACAAGATCTTTATTTCTAGACTTTACGACTTCCCTCTAAAATTCATTCAACTGAGTCCATGAGATAAAGCTTGATAAATGAATAATTATTACATGATCTACACAATTAAGCTTTTTGCTTCTTGCCTTGGTTAAAGCAAACTGTGGATGGTTATCAGTCCTAAAAAGCTCCAGATCCTCATGCTTGCGAGCAAGTTCAACCTGTGTAACATGATATAGGAAAGATGGAACAGTTAAGCACATGCACTAATTAGACTCAATATTTTGAGTAATTATACAATAAACAGAGGATAAAAGATTCTCCAACATAAGAAAAAGGAACAACAAAAAGAAAGTCAAAACTCCATATAAATGCAGCACAAGCCTTGAAAAATAACTGAAGAAACACCCCCAAAATATACCACATGCCTTTTACCAAAGAAGTCTCAGGAAAATTAATCAATCCCAAAGCAGTGGCTGGAGTTTTTTTTTTTTTTTTTTTGAAAGAGAAGTATAGAAGAGTATTAATGACAGGTGCCAAGGGGGCACCGCTCATGTACAAAATTTACATATCAATAAGTATATCTACAATTGAAGCAAAATCTACGACTATCAATATCGTGCCCTAATATAGTAGCACCAAAATAGTGGAACCAATTGTCTTTTAAGGTATTGAAGTCAAGTTCTTTCCCATCAAAAGCACGTTTGTTTCTTTCCTTCCAAATGACCCAAAATATAGTGAGAAGAATGAGTTGGAAAAACTTATTTCTTTTACCGAGACCTTCCCAAGCATACTATTCACCGGAGACAGTGTTTGCCATGACCCAAGATAACCCCAATAGGCCAAGAACCATTGCCCAGAGTTTATGAGAGATTGGGCACCAAAGAAGAAGGTGGCTGCATGATTCCGGACACGATTTACAGAGGAAGCATCTGTTTGCAATGGGTATTCCTCTTTTCATTACTTTATCCGAAGTTAGGATTTTTTCCCTTGCTGCTTCCCATGCGAAAAAATATATCCTGAGTGGGGCACCCGATTTCCAGGTGATTTTGGCAGGAATTTCTTTTGATTGCATTTTATCTGGCCATCCAGAAAATCATAAAATGAGCTGACAGAAAAGCGGTCATTGCTCCTGTATTTCCAGCGCACTTATCTTCTGATGTTTAAATGAATGTGGTACAGTGTGAGAAGCAGGTTTTCGTATTCTTCAATTTCCCAATCATGTAAATTCCTCGTTACAGTGACATTCCAACTGTCAAGGCTGCCAGGAGTGACTGCATCTCTCACAAGGCCAATTTTGAAGCTAGAGATGGCATAAATTTGTAGAAATCTGTCCTTGAGAGAAACCGACCCGCACCATATGTCATTCCAAAATTGAACTTTGTTACTATTTCCAATTATCCAATCAGTACAATTTAGAAGAGCCGGGCTGATATTCATGATGTTCCTCCAGAGGCTTGTGCCATATTTATAGATATGTGAAAAGCCCCTTTGATCATCATCAAACCATTTACAATCTATAATTTTTTTCCATAAACCTTCTGTTTCATTCCAGTACCTCCAAATAAATTTCCCAATGAGAGCTTTGTTTAATTTGACAAGGGTTCTCAGTCCCAAACCATCATCCCACACTGGTTTTTTGACTTCATTCCTGTTGACAAGATTGTATTTTTTTCTTCCGTTATCCACATCACCCCATAAGAAGTTGCACTGAATTGTTTCTAATTTTTTCACAACCGTAGTTGAAATGTTGAGCACCGAAAGAAAATAAATAGGCAAGTTGGAGAGTGTCCTCTCGATGAGAATAAACATTCCTCCCTTGGATAAAAAAAAATTTTCCAGGTTAATCTGTTTTGCAGCATATCAATAATCAGGACCCATTTCTTCTTGTCATTATGTTTAGCTCCCAGTGGCACGCCAAGGTAAGTGATAAGCAGATTTGATATTCTGCAGTTTAATGCAGCATTGAGTGAGCTAATATCATCATCACCAGCACCCAAAATAACAACTTCAGACTTGTGTAGGTTGATTTTTAAACTAGAGACGGTCTGAAAACATCTTAGAATGCATCTCAAGAGAATAAGTGATCGAGTCTCTGGTTGGCAGAAGATAAGAGTGTCATCGGCGAAAAATAAGTGGGAGATCTCAATCATTCTATTTCGCTTACCAACAATAATACCCTTAAGCATTTGCAGATATTTTGCTTGCTCAATTAATTAAGGCCTCCATAACAATGATAAAAATGAGAGGGAAAAGTGGGTCACTCTGCCTTTAATCCTCTTGAAGCGGGCAAAAATGTTGAAGGTCCTCCATTACCCATTACCGCAAAGGTGGAGGTTGTGATACAAAATCTGATCCAGCTTCTCCATTTCTGGCCAAAACTCATTCTTCTAAACATGTTGTCAATAAAGTCCCAATGAACATGATTAAAAGCCTATTCCATGTCAAGCTTACACATAACACCCTTTTTGTTATTTCTAGTGGTATCATTGACAATCTCATTAACAATCAATATAACATCTGAAATATGTTGTCCGGGAACAAAAGCATGCTGACAGTCTAACATGACCCTAGGAGGGCTTTCCAATTGCTTGGGAAGCAACCATCAGATTTCACGTCAATTCATAAACAAAGCTGGGGAGAAGCCTGAACTAAAGAAACGGATTCGAGATTCGATGACAACACACAATCTCATGAACCCCAAGGATCCAGTTCGTGCAAATTTAGATCGGATAAGATGGATCATCAATGCCATCAAGACCGGGAAGCCTTATGGGCCACCAAGACAACCGACCCAAGAAAGCATCAACAACGAAGAGTTATGGACTTTCGGATTGATCTTCGAAGACGAAGGTAACGTGTCCGAAACAATGCACGGAGGGGAGATAATTGCGGGTGGGCGACCCAAGTCACCCGGCCCACCACCCGATCCGCTAGCCCCAACTTGTGGCATAGCGAGCCGTGCGCCCGAGAAGAACGTGCGGTCCATGCCGCATGCCCATGTGGGTGGACCAACCGAGGCCCATCAGGAAGACCCGAAGACCAGCCATCATCCCAAGACCCGATTCAGCAGACCCGCACCCGAGGGAGAAGAAATTGGACCAAAAGCCCGGCCCAGCAACAGCCACGGGCCTAGCCGAGGAGGAACCCGGGCGGGCCACGGACAAATGAGGCCCGAAGGCCATGCGTGCGGGCCCAGCCCAAGCCGCACGCGCACGTGTGGGCTTCCCTAACCCGCACCAGTGAGGTGTGTATGTGGTAAGTTTTGGACTTTTTTCCTCCACATGGCCCATGTGATTTTTCAACCCAAAATTCACATGATAATTATCACTTCATTATTTAATTATTATTATTTGAATTAAGAATTAATTATATAATATTTTACTCTTAGGATTATCCTAAACTATTATTTTATTATATTTTTAATCCTAATTATTTATCCTAATATTTTAATGTGATTTCCACATGTGTTTTACATGGAATTCACATGGGATAAACTTTACATTATTTTATTTATTACTTTATTCTAATTTTATCCTTTATGATATTTACTTAATTTATTTGGAATAAAATAATTATTTTATTATGTATTTATCCTATATTAAGATAGAATTTTATTTACAGTATTATGTTATTAAATTATTTCAAAATTTTGTACGTATCTAAATCGTCCGGAAAATGCTATAAATAAACATTTGCCCCTATAATGTAAACACAACCTTTGATAATCAATTTGAGAGAATTCTTGAGAGTTTCAGTTTTTCTTCTTTTAACATTTTTACTAAAATTAGCTTATTCAAGTTTTTTGGGAAATAAGAGTTTTCAGAAGTCTTGTTGAGCCAAGGAGCGAGGATCAACTTATCTGTAAATCCGTGATATTTTTCCTTTCCTTATTTATTTTTTCTAGTTTTTGTTTTTACTTTCTTTTTAAGATTATAGATTCAATTAGAGGGAGGAATTTATTTTAAATGGTTATAGTTTCGGTATTACATACGTTGAGTGGGTTTCAGAAGTTGATTTGATCATCTCCATACCCTCTCATGTCACAGTCACTGATTTTGCCAGAAACTTTAGAGAGTCGTTTAGCAAGAACTTTTGAAAGAAGTTTGTAGATACACCCAACAAGGCTAATTGGCCAAAAATCATTGATATGTTCAGGGTTGGTTTTTTTCAAAATCATAACCAGAAAAGTAGAGTTAAGAGATCTCACAAAGGTGCTGTGACAATGAAAGTCATTGAGGAATTCAGGGATATCACCTTTGATTACATCCCAGAAAGTTTGAAGGAACTTGACATTGAAACCGTCCGGACCGGGGGCTTTATCACCATCACATTCACAAAGACAGTCCAGAATTTCATTTTCGGTGAATTTATCCTCAAGTTGCTCTCTGTCCCATTCAGAGATGCTGTTAAAAGACAGATTATCTAGCTGCAGTCTGTGTTCATGCTATTCAGAGTATAAGTTCTGAAAATGGTCTTTTGCACCTTTCCTGAAAGCCTCATTTTCTTTAATTTTGTTATTTCCAATAGTCAGTTCTTCCACATAGTTGATACGTCTTCTGTGGTTTGCTAGCATATGGAAATACTTTGAATATCTGTCACCATCTTTAATCCATTTTTTTCTGACTATCTGTTTCCAAGATATGGCCTCCATGTGAAGTTTGTTGGAGAGCATTAACTTCATATTCTTTTTTTCTCTGTCTTCAGTAAATAGCAGCAAGTTTTCCTCTTTTCTGTCTAAATCATCAATTTCTATAAGAATATCACTGATGCCTTCTTCCTCTTTTCTGCCAGTCTCTTTAGCCCAGCTTTTGATTTCAGCTTTTAGGAGTTTTAGTTTTGTAGCAATTCTGAAACTAATCGTACCCTTTATAGACGACTTACACCATGTACCAGCAACCAATTTCCTGAAACTGTCCAGCACCAGCAATTTATTATCAATCCTGAAGGGAATAAAGCCCCATTGGATCCCTTCCGATGACAGAAGAAAGGGGAAGTGATCAGATGTTGGCCTAGAGAGAATTTTCTGGTTTAAGTTAGGGAGAACAGCGAGAAGATTGGTGGTGATGAGGAACTTGTCAATTCTTGAAGAAGAAAAATGCTCCCCCCCCAATTAAGGGAAGATCAATGAGTTCCAAACTGTCAAGGAGTATGCTGAATTCTTCAATGTCATTTGAACTCGTATAACCACTTGATCTTTCAGAACTTTTCAGAACCATATTGAAGTCACCCCTCACAATGCCCGTCACACCAGGAGTTCTTAATATGTGATAGTTCAGTTCCTAACATGTTGCGTTCCTCACTGTTGCCTCTCCAATAAACTCCAGAAAAATACCAATGATCTCCATTAAGTAAATTAGAGAAAAGACAGGACAGATTGGTCTCACCCAGAATTACATCGTTGCAATACACACGGTCCTTCCTCCACATTATCGGAATGCCACCAGCAGAACCCTTGGCTGGAAGAAAATTTCAACCAACATCATCCATTCTCCAGAGGCGGCCGATAATTTTTCTCATTTATCGTATCCATCTTGGTTTCTTGAAGACAAATGACTGATGGTTTCCAGCGGTTAAGGCAGCCTTTAATGATTGTTCTTTTCCTTTGGTCATTTATGCCCCATACATTCCAAAAAAGAATTTTATCAATCATTTGGTAATCTGAATTTCATCCCCACCCTCTTTGTTCTTCTTGCTTTGCCCATCGTAATTAATAAAAGGCTGAAGTCTTTTGAATTCTTTTGGGCCACCACCTCTCTGCTTCTTTTTACTGTGCTCCAGTAACAATGGCTCATTATTGGTACTCCCCACTTCATTCGCCCACTCAACCAAAAACTCTCGTGCATCTATTTCTTGAGTAGGAAAAGAAGCACCGAAATGCTAACTGATGCAAAAGACGTTAAAAAACCAATCAGAGAAACGTTGGGAGTCAGACCTTAGATTGTCTCTGATGAGGGTGTCCAGAGCACGTATTATATCCGGTAGGGTTCTTTCATTTTTAAGTTGCGAATCTTTATCCAGAGTGTTCTCCTTGTCAATACCATGAACAACCATCTCAGCTCCCGTGATTGATCGTTGTTCCTCTTCCAAAATCGAGACTGATTTGCTAGACGAGGAAGAGGAAGTCCAAATATTGGAGCAGAAAGCTGAAGCAGCCATGTCTTTAAGTCGTTTTCAACAGAACTAGGAGCCAAGTTAGGGCATGAACTCGACTCGAGATTTTTGTTTCGGCTGAGATTTTTGTTTCGGTGGGACTTGGTTGCTTTTTCTTTTTCCTCCAGACCAACTCAACCTTCTTAGAGAACACCTTCGGACAGGACAATTTGCTTGTAACTTTACTTGACCCAGCTTGATTTGTCCATTTCTCTTTTTCCGCCAAGGTGTATTTGGGCCTTTTAGTTTGCCTTGAAGTCTCACGGTTAGAGGGTTTTTGGGCCATCAACAGGGTCGGTTCTCTTGCTGCCTTGGCGGCCTTTCCCCTGACAAATGGATAATTTTGAATTTCAAACTTCAGGACGTTAGGGGTCGAGTCGGGCCGATTCTTCTTCACCCAAGGAAGGATTTCTGATGGTGATGCAAGAATTGCCGCCTAAGAAGTCTCTGTTGTTAAGAGGAGAAAAATGCATGTTGTGATTACACTTTGGTCAGCATAAGATAATCGTGGCAGGTTTTCGACTTGACAAAGGCGAGGGTGAGTTGGTCTTCACAAAATCTCCTTTTTCTATGAAGGGGTTAACCATAGGGACCTCAACAAGTTCAAATATGGATTTCATGATGCGCCACCACCCACCAGCTTCATACCCGTCTGGAATGAAGATCCTTTTCTCGGAGTTTTCCTTCAGTTCTTAGAGTACAAGGAATCGACCTCTTCGGTTCCAGCCCAAGGCCAAAAAAAGATGGTGGAAACGGCCTTTGAAATTCTTCCCCAACGTTCGTCAACCTTTGTTCCAGTAAAAATCGCTCAAGGCATTCACAATCCAGGACACTTCCTCTTTACACATCGTAATGGGTACTCTAATGCCGCGACCATTTTCGATGATTCTGATAACATCAATCTTTTTTCCTTCACAGAGAATGTCGAAGGATTTATTTCCGATAAGGACAAACCTTTTTGAATGAAAAGAGGTCATTTTGTGGGTCTAGCATGCTCAGTAACAGCCGACCCGGCCATTGTAGAGTTCTTGGGAGCTAAGTTTTGTGCTGGGATACAGAAGGAGAGGGGGAGAGAGTTTGGGTGAGAGCGGAGGTTGGGTTCAGAGAGAGAATTTTAGAGAGAGAGAGTTTAGAGAGACTAGTAGAGTTTTTCCTTTGTCTGCAGTGGCTGGAGTTGCAAATGATCTTCAAAGATCTTGAATTTCTATCCACCATAACACCAGAATTCAGTGAACGTAGCCCATCTCCATAGCATCGTGACCCTTGTTCTTACCATAACCATATTGAGAAGGGAAACAAAAACTCAAGTGGAGGGGAATCCAACTTACACCAGATGCAGGAAAACCAAACTGATGCAGTACCCATCTAACAAAGTTTTCTAAATGCTATGATTATTTAACTTTTAATTACTTTACTATTACTTATTTAGTCAGAAATCTTATTCTATTATTGCTTTCCTTTTTAGTTATACTATACATATTAGGTTATTTAGACACGATATAAATAAATGGGTGATACTTTATTGCTAAGTAAACAGCTTATGGATAAACTACATTGACCTGTTTTAACAGATTTGAGTGCCTTAACAAGTCTGGGAATTGAGGTTGTGATAACTCAAAAACTGTTTCTCCTGATCCCTGTGATTGCAGAATGTCAATCCATGTGATTCTGTTTTGTTTTTTTTTTTTTTCTATCTTTCTAAACCCCATTCCACTATTATAGGGTGCAAGCTAAAAGCCTCAAGAAAATCTTAAAATGTCGTAAATTGTCCAAATGTGTCCGTGCAGGTGTGAAGCTGCAAGGGTGTTAATCACAAATTTAAATCTTTAAATCATCTTTGACCATAGGCACCAGCCAAATGGTTGCTTCCTTCCCTATCCAGGAGGATGGTAAGGGTCTAAGCTCTGCCGGTTGCAAGCATGCAATCAAGCATTTCTCAACCTAAAAACAAAAGATAGATCATCTTCACACCAGATTATGCCGGAGAAGTGCTCAATGAAGTTGCTTAAGGATTAACTTAAAACTTTCAATACAAAATGCATGCACAAGTAACACATGAAAATGTATCAGACAGCATGCAGGGAATCATGTGCAGCACATGGGTATAAAGTTAAATTGTTCAAATATAAAAAAGATAACACCCATCACCCACCTCGACTAGAAGAAAAACAGAGAAAGTGAAATAGTCATCAAAGTCAAATAATCATCCAAAAATCTTGGAACAAAAAGAACATACCAATTTCTCAGCTGTTTTAGCAGTATCCTTTCGAGAATGAACAAATACCATTGCCTGATGACCTTGCCTAAGGGAATCCACTACCTAGAATCAAAGAATCATTTATAGTAAACTGCCTGTCTTCTATAATTTTAAGTTGCATGTATAAGAGATGTTGAATGGCAGATGCTTTTCTCATTCACAGGTTTATCTAGAATGAATGTTGTATCAACAACTAGGAAACTTTTGGGCTCTTTGGTAATGTCTGTCACAAGAGAGACCAGTGGAGTAAGAGATCAATTAACTCCATACCACTTTCATTTTTTAGGTTATATGAATGAGAGATATAGGAGCAACTTTAGATAGAATGGTTGTCTAGGTGATCACACATTTAAGTGATAGGCTCAATCGTAGCTATTTGGAAAACCATGAAGAATGCTTACCAAGTCTGTATTGGAGGCACCCACTTGGTGCTCTTTTGATAAATTATTTTCTTAGTAGAGAAAAAGAAAGAGAAAAAAGAGAGATATAAAGTGCGAGTGAGCGAGAGAGAGAGAGAGAGATTCCAAATTGAAACAAAAACCTTTTTATAGCATATCTCATTTAACAACTCATTTCTCACAGAAAAGTTCTGTTCACTAATTCCAATATACTGTTGTGCCAGAGGCACCGGACGGTAGCTAGAATCAAAGAAGAAGAGGCCTGTCTCTGGATTCACCCTGAGAAATTGTGCAACCTGAGCATTCAAACCAAAAGAAAAGTTCATCCATGTTAGAGAGCCAAAAGCAAAGGAGAAATCTGAACCTGGGATTATCGGACGCAAAAAAAAAAATACGGAGAATTAATTCTCAATTCAATTCTGCAGACCTCCAAATAATTGGGTAAAGTGGCTGAGAGGCCTACAATTCGTATCATTGTCTGTGTTGACTCCACCTACGCCACACACAAAATACAAGAAAAAAGGATGAACTGATTTGTTGAAATTATAACAGCCAAACATTATACAGAAAGTTTTCTTACAAATTATAAAAGCAAAATTATAAGTTGCAACTCTTAAAAAGTTCCATTTTTCTTTCAGTAAGAAAGAGAAATCTATCAAAGCGCACCAAGAGGGTGCGCACCGAAGAATGAAAGAAAACCATAAATTTTAGAAGAAAATTTATTTACAAGATAAATTCTATAAGCTCAATTATAATCCACTTATATAACTGCATTTCTAGTAAACTAAAAGCTCGAGCATGCTCTCAACTTACATACATCATCCCTATCATTCAAATGCAGGAAGAATGATGACCCAGTTTGACATTACCTGACGAAGTGTCCTAGCTACTAGTGCCTCAATTACTGGGCCTCTGTCATCATTCAGAAGATGCACTTCATCAATAATCAAAAGCTTCACAAGCATTGACAGTGACATGTCACTGCTTTTGCGAGTAATGACATCCCATTTCTCAGGTGTTGTAACTATCATCTGATTCACAAGAGTAAAATTTAGGAGTTAAATCATTAGTTCTTGCATGCATGTATCGAAAGAAAAATAAAGCATGTATCACTTAGCAATAACCAACCTGGGTTTCCTCAAGTTCACTCTTAGAGAGTTGCATGTCTCCAGTAAGTTCTCTCACAGTCATATTCAATGGAGATAAACGATGGCTAAATGTTGATGTAACCTCCGCAGCCAATGCCTAGAAAATACATGATTAGGAATTATCAATCATCCGCATACCAAATGTCAACTAATTAATAAAAGGGCAGAATATTTGCACTGCTTGACCTTCATCGGCGCAACATAAACTATCTTAAACTCATTCTTATGCAAGAAACCATCCTTGAAATGCTGTCCAATCTGCAAAAGAATTTTTACTGACCAGATTATTTACTCTCATCTATCCAACTTTAAAGGGCTTGATGTAATTATATGCAAGATTTTAAATATTTTGTACCACTACCTGGGACAAATTTCAAATTCAAAATTCTTAAATAGGATAATTATCTTTAGCTCCCTTTTAAAAAATAAATATATTTAATACCCAGTTGAAAAAAAAAAATCTATATATACAAGAAGAAGCATAACTAAGAGTAGCAAAAAATTATAAAAAGAGAGAGAATAAGGCATCCTCATACACGGGGAAAAAAAAAAGAAACCTAGAAAACAAGAAAAAAAAATGAAAGGCCTTAACATAGA